TATATTATTTCAGACTGATCTTAACTGTGAGAGGAAATGTCAGAATCTACATGAAATCTTATATGATTTCCTATGCTTAAATCCATTCGTTTTATCATGTGTAAAAATGCACATGAAATCGTGTTCCATTTCCCACATGGTTTCCCATGTGGATTCACATTTGGTTTTCCATATAGTTTCCCATGTTGGGATTTTTAATAGGGCGAAAGAGGATTTGATCCGGGAAAATTAAAAAAAAATGATAAAGGATTTCACTGAGGAAATGACGTGGGGTTTGACATGGGAAAATTTTTCAAAAAAATGATAAAGGATTTCACTTGGAAAATGACATGGGGTTTGCCATGGAAAAATTTTTTAAAAAAATGATAAAGGATTTCACTTGGTATTTAACATAGTATTTAACATGGTATTTGACATGGGAAACAAGGAACCTCGTTTTAATTTTTTTCCTATATCAAATCCTGTCTCAATTTCCCATGAAGATTTTTGTGGGGAGCAATATGGTTTCCTATATAGGAGTAAGGTTTTACATATTTTTTGACATTGGATACCATGTGGTTTCCCATGTGGGAATTATCAATAGGGTTCTTACAAATTACTTTCGCCATATAGGACTAAATTATAGTATAATAATCTTTGTATTCATTCCGTCATTCATTCACATTTTCTTAGTACTTGAATTTTCTCATTATTATTAGATTATATATACATATATATCTTTACTTTGATAATTAGGGTTCTCGAAGGTTTCTACCTGAAATTTTTGTTGTCAAAATCCGAAAAATACCACTAAAAACAAATCCTTAACCCCCTACAACCCCTGGGAGGGGGTTGGAATTTCATTGTTCACGAAAAGTCGAGTACGGTATCTATTCCTATGTTTTTTTGGTCGCTGAAATCAAAAAACACCAACAAAAACACATTCTTTACCCTTTTAACCCCCTACAACCCCTGGAGGGGGTTGGAATTTCATTTTTCACGAAAAGTCGAGTACGGTGTCTAATCTTATGTTTTTTGGGTCGCTGAAACCAAAAAACATCACCAACAATAAAGTTTTCTAGAAAGTTACCTATGATTACACAAATACGCACCTACAAAGTCTTAAGGAAATTTATTTTTCTACACTTAGCGCCGTGAAAAATGATATTCCAACCCCCTCCCAGGGGTTCTAGCGGATTAAGGGGGTAAAGAATTTGTTTTTGGTGGTGTTTTTTGATTTCAGCGCCCCAAGAAACGTAGGATTAGAAACCGAACTTGACTTTTTGTGAAATTTAAAATTTTAACCCCCTCCCATAGGGTTGTACGGGGTTAAGGAAAGAAAGGATTTGTTTTCAATGGTGTTTTTGGGATGAAGCGACCCAAAAAACATTGGAATAGACACCATACTCAATTTTTTTTTAATTTGAAACTCCAACCCCCGTGAGTAGGTGCAAGGGGTGGTTGCGGGAAAATGGGTCGTCAAAAAAATTGTTCATGGTCATATTCGGTTTCAGCGACCCCAAAAACATAGGAATATGGGGTTGTGTTTTTTGGGACCTGAATTTTTTTTTGTGCCTGTGTTATTATTGGAGCAATATATGATCGTAATCGTGAACTTCTGAGGAAAACGAATAAGTCAAAATAAATTAAACAGTGTTTATATTTAAAAATTTTATAATTTTTTTGAAAAACTCATTAAGTGTCATAAAATAATATTGTCATTAAGCCCGAGAACGTCATACAAGCCCCCGCTGTAATTGACTTACTCGAGGTCTGAGCCCGGAACAGGCCGATAGAGTGAGGATATACCACTTCCCTTTTCAGGACCCAATCCGTGATCGCTCGATTCGTCCTAACAGTCTTGGGTTAAGGGAAATTTTTTTATTATTGTATATGCGATATAGATGATAACCGTTTAATCCCAGTGAGTGGAAGTGGTGTATTCATACTTAACTTACCAACACCTATCCCCGAGGACGCCACTCAGGCCTACCGTAATATCTGCCACTCGCGAGAACTTAATATAGGCCCAGATTGGTAGAGTGGGGGTATAACACTTCTCCTCAATGGAGTGAAACGGCTACTGCTGATGTAAGATAAACATAGAGCAACCGACTACCGTTTCAACAACATTGTAGTAGTGTTGCTAAAAAAAGATTCTAATAGTCTCAGGTAACTTAACTTGATTATTATAAAGTTTATAATATTTTTCTGCAATTTGTCGATCAATAACTTACTGCAGGTGTTGAATCTTCTTATATTATATTTGTCTTTTTCATTTTTGTATTGGGCCCAAAAAATATATTCCTATTTTTGTATAGTATTAATCATTATATATGTATTTTGAAGATAAATATGGATATTGCATGATATTGGTATTGAAGATATTTGTTTCTTTTGGTTGTCTTAAATGTTTCATATAAAAAATACTTCAATCCATTTAGTTTTTTTGGTATTAAATAACATTGGCATTAAAGATATTACGATTTTGAGGATAAAGAAAGATATTGGATAACATTAGTATTGAATATATTTTAATAATGCAACAAAAATATTGATTGTTTTATAATAGTGGAAGCTGTCTTTTGGAAAAATTTTTTGGTATTGGGTAATTTTGGCATTAAAGATATTTGGATTTTGAGGATAATAAAATATGATATTGGATAACATTGGCATTGAATATATTTCGATATTGAAAAAAAATTATTGACTGTTTGAGAATAGAGGTAGCTGGCTTTTGGAAAAGTATTTAAATAGATAGAAAGAGGTTAGAATATTGTTTTAAGGGTTAAAGTTGTTTTATGGGTTAAATAATAGTTTGTGAGTTGAATATTGATTTGAATATTAATAAAATGTGCAGAGGAAAATAAGTTCAATAATAATCATTATCGAAAATGATGTAATGTGGAAAAAGATTAAACAACGCTAATTCACGTTCATAAAAGACTATCATTGTTGCATTAGTTAGCTGAATTATAGTTCATGCAATATTTTATAGGTGAAACACATGTAAGTAAATTTTTTAAAGCAATAAACTAAAATAAACGATTTGTTTTGAAAATTGGCTTTATCAACAGTTTGAAAGTTGAAGCAGGATACCATGTCGAACATAGAAGAGTATTTTATTTTAAGTAAAGAAGATTTTAAAATTATTGAAAATGTAAATGAAATGTTAAATGATATGCACATGTATAAATTTGAAGAATTATCAAAAAATGATTCAAATTCTTTTTTCATTATGCAAAGTACTTTGTATTTACAAATGCTTGATTTAATTGTTCCAATTAGAGAAAGAGTTAAACATATTCAAATAGTTTTTAGCGGTAATAACAATTCTGGTCATTGGATTTGTGTTTATTACGATGGAGTAAGACTTTATATTTTTGATAGCCTTAATGCAGGGTGTTTGAATATTCACCAAATAGAATATTTAATTAGATTGTTCCCTTTTAAACCAACAGAATTTTTTGTAGATGTTGATCAACAACCGATTGGTACAGTTAAGTGTAAAGTATAATGCAATAGCATTTGCAACATCTGTATTGGTTAACAGTGTAAATTAAAAGATTAATTTATGAAACTGATAATAATATAATGAGCAAGCATTTGATATCATTTTTTGAAAACAATTAATTAAATAATTTTCCGGCAGTTAGAATGTCTAATATTAGGATTTCGATTTGTAGAGAATGATTGGAATTGTCTTTTCATAAATCGAGCTAAAGAAGTTCAAAATGGAGAACTAAACCGTTCATATTTTTTAAAGACTTTTCCCAGTCAAAATGACAACAGAGTTCTGTCTACTGAAACTGAGAATGAAAAGAAAATACCCAAAGAAAAAAGTTTGTCCTGTAAGATGAAGAAATTATCTACAGAAATTGAAGAGGGATTTACATGTTGATGTAAATTCAGTATGCACAACAGAAAATAATAAGAAAATAATTTCTAGTCTTATTGTTAGGGAAAATTTTGATCCTATGACATATCCTACAATGTTTCCTTATGGTGATCCTGGATGGACTGTTAACCTTAAGCATACTCAAGGTACTTGTAATTTTATTCATTTACAATTTTATATTTATCGTCTTTCATAGAGAAGAAAAAAGCGTGGATTGACACATGTGCGTTTAACTATTTGTTTACGTACACAAATTTGCGATTCAGAAACTTTAAATAAAATGATATGTGCTGAAATCACAGACGAAATAAAGAATCCAGAACTTTTTAACATTGTAAAGCGATTTTAAGTTCATGGGCCTTGTGGTAAACAAAATAGGAATTCACCCTGCATGGATCCTGAGATGGGTCATTTAAATGTATTGCTGACAATTCGACGATCGTAGCATTGTATAATCTTTATTTGAGTACAAAATTTAAAGGTCATATTGACTGGGCAATAATAGGTATTATATTATTATAACACCATAATGTTGAAATAGTAATACAGTAACGATTACAAAAATAATATTATTATTTTTGTGAGATCAAAATTCCAAAAAGTGTCCGTCAAATAAAAATAAATTTTTAATTTTTCATAAAAAATTGCAGATATCTCGCGCGTTTACGCGCGTTTCTTTTAGCTAGTACATATAATATTGTACACGTTTGACATTTATATAATAGGGGGGGGGAATTTTGCTATCCTTACCATTAATTTGTATCTAGACATGCTAATTAGGTAGAAAATTCTATCTACTACTATCAGAGTAATAAAAATATTATTTCATTCCCTTCAACAGAGAGAGATAGAAACTACGCATTATACCTGAATTTTCGATCGTGTACCCTTATTGAGTAAGGTAAGAAGGGTCATTGAAAGTTTTATAACTCTTAATTAATAGGTAATAAAGGATACAAAAAGTTTCCAAAAATCTGTGAAATGCGTTATAATAGACATAGACGCAATAATATATAGACCCTTGTTGTTTAATATACTTTTGTATGGCTGTGTTATTGATTAGTGAGAAATAATAAAGAGTTAAAAATCATCATAATTGTTAAACTTAATTCCTTATACTCACTCTTTCTTCTACGGCAACTTTTCTACTTTTCCAAACAAATTCACCAACAGCAATAACACATGCGACACCCATACCGCCCATCAATACGACAAAAACTCCGCCAACATTTGCTAAACCAAGTTCATTAGCAGCTGAGCTATTCTTTGAAATGTCATCCTGAAATTAATAATAGATAAAAGTTAAAATCAAACCAAATTATTCTATATATTGTGATATGTTTTTTAAATTTCGGACCTTCAAATGACTTACAACTTTATTATACGTAACTGATTTCCAAAATTTATAACTGTCCTGTATCCATCTGTTGAGACTTTCAACAGATGTTTAGAAATTTTATTTTCATCTTTTTGCTTGTCAAAATTTAGTTGTCGCTAATCGTGAGTCTGTCAATATTTAAAAATTAAGTTTATTACTTTATACCAATACTGATATACCTTCTTAAAAATTCGTAGAAGAGATAGATTTTACTATCCTTTAAGATTATATTTATCTATATTGGCTATGTTATAAACCTACAAACTTTGTATATTCAGAATAATCTAGGTACGAACTACTTGTGCTCTTCCCCGTCGCACCATCTGCAAATTGCACTTTAAATGTTATTAAAATTGTACCTCCATTTTGGTTTACTCCCACCACTTTTGTTACCCGTACCATGTATTTTTTGGTCTTCGACACATAACCGATTTTATCAGAATCTCACCAATGGTCGTAGTCTAAGGATATTTTCATTGAAATAAATAATTATTATAAGTTAAATATTTGTCTCAAATTTATTAACCCCTTCGTTGGCAAAAAGAATTCACCAAAAAGTGCCCAAAACGTACAGAAAAATTTGTTTCCTGAAAATTAGTATCCAAGGGTTTTTGGGGTCGATGATTCCGAATCTAAAGTCATATTTTTAAAAATTGGAATATTCAAAATGGTAGATCCAATATGGCGGAATCTAACGTCAGATTCTTAAAATTGGGAAAAATTAAAAAAGGCTGATCAGCTACCCCAAAAACCCTAAGACACCTATTTGCACGACAATCCAATATTTTTTCAAAGAAACCAATATTTTTGTCATAATTCATCCGCCATATTGGATCCGCTAATTTAAATTTTGGAAGTCTGACTTCGGATTTGTAATCAGCGACCCTAAAATCTCATCAGTACTCATTTTTAAGCAAATCCAAACAATTTTTTTGAATATTGTCTGCCATTTTGATTTTTGAAAAACTAACATCGGATTCGTAATCAGCGACCCCAAAAACTCCTAAATACTAATTATTAAGCGAATCCAAACGATCTCTGAAGAAAGTCCGCTATGTAGGGGTCATTAATTAATTACGTTAAGGTCCTCAGGGGGAGGGGAGGTTTCTAAAATCTCTACATGGTCTTACGTCGAGGGTGGGGGGTAGAAGTTACTCTTTCGTAAGAATTTGCCAAGTAATTTCCATTTGTATTGTTGTAATTAATTTTTTAATTACATTAATATTCATAATAATTACGTAATAAGGGGAGGGGGGTCTGAAAAATCTTACGTATCCTTACATGGGGGTAGGTGGGGTCAAAATTAGCCAAAATCGTCCTTACGTAATTACTGAATGGACCCTAGGATCCGCCATTTTGAATTTTGAAAAACTAACATCGAATTCGTAATCAGCGACCCCAAAAACCTCCGAGTAACAATTTTTAAGCAAATTCAAGTAATTTTTGAAAATTTTGTTCTCCATTTTATATTTTGAGAAAATAACAATGGATTCGTAAACTGCGACCCCAAAAACTCCCAAATAGGAAGTTTGAAACAAATCCGTACGGTGGGTTTTGTTGGGGCACAAAAGGGCATATGAAAAAAATAGTTGACGCGTAAACGCGTCAATGCCAACTTCACCTTCTTAAGTTAAATTATTAAGTTGTATTAGTCACAACACCACCTTCTCTCACCATTTTTAGAAATACCGTAAAAAAAAAGTAATAAATATAAAATAAAAAAAATAATATAACAAAATGAAATAACTATCAGCATGGCACAAAAGGATTGGTAGACAGTTTTCCCAATCCGCGTTTCCCAACGACTTTTTTCCCAATGGCCATTTTTCCCAATGAACATATTTCCCAAAAATGGGTCGTTTTTCCCAATGGACATTTTTCACAATAAGAAATTTTCTTGTTAATGATGTTAGATGTTATGTAGTTAGTGTTCATAAAGATGTCTTTATTATGTCTAAAAAACGTCTTTTTCAGATTTTGAAAATAGAAAATTTTTTATAAAAATAACTTTCATTATTTATTTTCCAAGTTCAACGTAAATATCGAAACTGTTTAAAATAAATGTTATACAAATTTCTTAAGTTTGATTCATTACATTGACAAAGAAGTTTGTAAACTTTGTAAAGGATTCTATCTGTCTCCGATGACTTAGATGCTTAAGGCGTAGAGTTTGAACCCGACGTATCGCGGAATCGATCCTAGGTCCGGGTGGAATTTTTTCATTTCTGATTTCTGTATAAACGTGTACAAATAAAACAAAAATCAAAATGAAGTTTCTAAAGAAAAAAACTTCAAAGTCCAAAAGACGTATTTCAGACGTCCTTTCCGAATGTCTTTTAGACGTCCTTTTCAGACGTCTTTTAGACGTCTTCTGGCCAGACATAGAACGTCTTAAAGAAGTACTTTGTATGACTTTATGATGTCTTCGAGACATTATCATCAAAGTCCCAAGATGTCCGCGGAAAAAGACGTCTTTTAGACGCCCGGTGCCCACTGGGCATACAGACTAAGAGATATATTAATAAATCAACTAGCGTCATATCCACTCTCGCTAACGCTCGCTTCGTTGAAATTGTATTTATTATTGTTTACATATTTCAATTCATTCATATGTTTCTAGTTTTATAGAGTTTTTCAAGACGCATCTTTTGATCTATTAGCAAATATCATACTGTTATTTTATCCAGAGTTATTGTCATTTAGAAATTAAAAAATTTTTAAAAACCATCCTTATTTGCCTTATTTATTAAAAAATATTTATGTATCTTTAATATCACTATGAACAATATATTTAATATATTGAATATTATATGAATATTCAAAAACGAATCAATTGACCTATTATTGGACCTTTTATTGTGAAATAGTACAAAGTTTTTGATTTTAAAAATGTATTTCGTAGTGACAATATCTAGTCTGGTTTGATTTTATTCTCAATAGTATTATATTTCATATAATTGGACTAGATATTGTCACTACGCGATAACGTAAATAAAATCATAATATACGGGATCCGCCATTTTGAATTTTGAAAAACTGACATTGTACTAAAAGTGAAAAAGTACTTTGTTCAATAAATCTAGTGTAGAATTGTCGTTTTTTATCCGATCGAGGTCTATAAAGGCTTAAAAGTTTCGTAATTAAATATATTATTAATAAAAATTTTAAAACTTACCTGTTTTTTCATTGTTTGACTTTGAAAAAATTAGCGAAAGTTCGACGAATGTCTAAAAATCATTAAAATTTGCTTGAAATTTGAACTTTGATCGACTGTAACTCTGACAATTTTGAATGGATTTTATTGGTTTGAGAGGTAATTTAATTATCTTTAAAATAGTGATTTATTTTTTACATTTGGATTAACTGCTTTCTCTACCGGTGACTTTATGTGACGACACACCTCGAAAATGCATAATTTGCTGTTACAAAAAAATTGCACGAGGGAAAAAAATTTAAAATATGATTTTCTTACTCAAAAAACACATATTAATTGAAAAAAAAGTTTTCTTCGATTGTCGATTTCACTGTAATCCTGTGATAATATTATAATAAATTTATTATTATCTTAAAATTTTATGTTTTTAAGAAATCCTTAATACTTTTCAGAAATAAATAATTTATTCTAACGGATATAATGAGTTGTGTCAAAGAATTAATTTAATTTAGTATTCACTAAACTGTCTTTGGGAATTATGTTTTGTTCTACTTCAGTCTTTTCGATGACTATAAAACGGTTGAAATATAAAAAAATTTAAAAATGTTAATTTCTTAAAACTATTTTGAATTTTTAAAAACAAATATCATATTCGTAATCAGTGATCCTGAAAAACCTCAAGTAACAACTTTCGAGAAATTCCAATCAGAACTCATTTTATGGGTAATTAATGAATTATTTATTAATATAAGCTATGGTTTAATTCGAGGTTTAATTTAATTGATTTTATTGTTTTAAATATAATGTAATTATAATTATTATATTAGTATTATAATATAATTTTATTGTTTGTAAAAGTAAGAATAATAACTATATTACAGAACAAGAAGGGATGGACATTGTATTACATAAATGTGATGTTCATTTCACGAACATTATGCTTCCTCGCAGAAAATATTTAATTTGATTTACATTTATAAAATTTTTGATAATTTTTATTAAGAAAAAAGAAAAAAAAATTTAAATTTTGTGAAAAAATAAAAATAATGATTTCATCTATAAATTTAGGTAAAATATGAACTTAATATAGGTTAAAAAATTCGTTTTAATGCAAAGAATACGTATTCAAAATAAATAATGTGAAATTTTTATAATAAAAAGCTTTTTTATCAAAAAATGCATTTTTGACTTATTGAAAAAATTGTCCCAAAAAAAATTGTGTGGATATTTTTGAAAATCCTTGCGTTAGATTTTTGGTATTAGTAAGTAGCATTAGCATAAAAACGGAGCGATCCGTCAAGATTTGTTTGAGATAATATGTACACAAGTAGAGGTGCCATACATACACATACATACATCCGGACATTTGTTCCTCATGTCGAAATATAACTATATTAGTAAAAAATTTATTAAAATAATTGATTTCAGGAAGTTCGAAAATTGTCATCACTATACAGCTTCCTACGAGGAAGCAAAATGAACATGCTTACATTATAATAATAAACATATTTTTCAGAAAATTTTTAATACTTTTTATAAATAAATTAATAATTTATACTAACAAATATTTTTAGTTGTTTCAAAGAATTAATTTATTTTAGTTTTCACTAAACTGTTTTCGGAAATTATGCTACCTCTGTTGCTTCCTCATGAGGAAGCTTTGCATTCGTGACGATTCTTGATTTTTTAAAATTGGGTTATATGGATTCATTTTCATCCAGAATTAATATATATGATGTTCTGAGCA